AGGAAGACCAGCTCTGAGCTAACATCTATTGCCAATCCTCCTCCTTTTTTTCCCCAAAGCCCCAGTAGATAGTTGTATGTCATAGTTGCACATCTTTCTAGTTGCTGTATGTGGGACGCAGCCTCAGCATGGCCGGAGAAGCGGTGCGTGGGTGCACGCCTGGGATCCAAACCCGGGCTGCCAGTAGTGGAGCGTGTGCACTTAACCACTAAGCCACAGGGCCGGCCCCTTGGAGTCCTTTGATTAGCAAGCCTGAGGGGTCCTGCATTCATGACCCAAGGCAAAATGGGAAGCTGGCTGTGGAGGATCATCAGTTCAGGCCCTGGGAGGGCCTTCATTTACATAAAGACTGTCAGTTGCCATCAGTGGCTTCTCAAATTGTGTGCAGCACCCGCAGAAGAGAATAGTTTCTGGTACAAGGATGCCTTGGGGAATTTATGTCCACCACGGGAGGTTTAGTTTAGAGACTCTTGGCTGCATAATGGGAGGCTGCTAAAGCCTCTATTATAAAGGAGTGTGGGGAGGGGGATACTAATGGTATTGAGTGTTATGTCAAAAATTGTACAGCCTTTTGTTTCCCAATTTAATGGAAGTCAATTTCTAAGTGTTGTGTAAATAAGTAAGTAAGCAGATCTGATAAATATGACATGGCTGTATCACTGTGGCTGGCAGACTGTGCCCCTGACATGGGTTCTATCACTGCTTCTCTCACTCTCTCAGCTCATAGCCCCCTGGTATTGCCTCAGAGAAATTTTGCAGAGTGGGACAGGCATAGATTTCTAAAGATGTTTCCAAGTAATCAGGTAAAGAGTAGGCTTGTGATGGGAAATGAAGAGCTGGAAATGGCCTATGGATGGTAATGAAAAGAAATGAGGGGCCAGCCCAGTGGTGTAGTGGTTAAGTTCACATGTTCTGCTTTGGCAGCCTGGGGTTTGCCGATTTGGATCCTTGGTGCGGACCTACTCACTGCTCATCAAGCCGTGCTGAGGCAGTGTCCCACACAGAAGAGTTATAACTCCACAACTATGATATATAACTATGTACTGGCGGGGAAAAAAAAAAGAAATGATACTGGTACACATGAATGAGGATGTCCCCAAGCAGATCCAGCTTGAGATACACTTTTATGTCTTAGAACCACTGTATTTCCAAAGATTTGTCCAAGGAAGCCAATTTAAACTCAAAGAGATTGTGGGAGCCCTCTCACTAAGCTCCTAGTATGTGGATGAGATGAGGGCAGGTGCAGCTCTAGAGCATGATTTTTTAATTAAGACAGGGGTGCAAGAAAGGCCTGTTGAGGACTGAGTCCTTGCTCAGTCTTTCAATTCTTCCTAAGAAGGATCCCATAGTCAAGGAAAGAAGAGTTGAAGACAAAAATCAAGGTTGAGGAGCACTTAACATTCTTCTAGCATATGATAGCAACTGTGTTATTCATTTTCTAATAATTATATATATAACACACATTTAAACATATATAAAATAGTTTAAGAGCACTCATGCATTTTCACAAATATATACTGCCATCAAAAGATTAAAACCATACCTTCACTCCAAAAGAACACTCCTGTGGTGCTCATTTGAATGACACCCCATCAATAGGTAAGTTAACACTAAAAAAAATGGAATACATTCCTTTGCTGTTTTAAACCTTGAAGCTATTACTGCTGTTTCTCACTTTTCCATAACATGTGTTAGACATCTAAGCATATGGAAATGAAACATGTGAACAACTAGATGGGCTACAGGCTTTTGTGGATCATTAATACAAGAGACTTCCAGGGACTCCTGTGATGAGAAGATGTTCAGAATTTTCCAGTTCTCCTTTTATACTCAATTAGGAATATTACTCAAAATGATACCCTCCCTCTGCAGCACATCTCAATTATTCCTTGGATGATTGCCTCTAAACACCCATAGCTCTTTTGGGGTGTTTCCACTGGGAGATCACAGTGGACTTGCATAGATATCACTCTACTCATAGAATACACTCAAGATGAGCTAAAACAGTGCAGAGGAATGCAACTGTTTCTCTAAATGGGAACACCTCTGTGGTTTAATTGAACCCAAGTATGAAAATAATAATTCACAAGAAAGTATACTATTTGATAAACTTGCCATACATAGAAATTTATTCTAACTGTTGAATAGTATGGAAAATAAAAAGAGGCTGGTATACCCACCAACCTAAAAAAGGACCTTTATCTAAGAAAGGAACAAAATATACAATGAATTATGCATATCCAGGACTGCAATATAAGGCCAGTAAGAAAATTCCAACAAATAGAAACTGTCATTTTTCAATGGCCCATTGACACAGAACAATTAAAACATTATTGAAAATTAAAGAGAAAATATTATTAACTGGTTTAAGGAAAAAGCAACACCTATTAATCTTATGTACTACTGATGAAAGATGTCTTGCAGAATTATTTCACTTCAATATTCATTTCTGAAAGTAGTTAACAGATTCCACAATCCAATGCTGCACTTTAAGAAAGGGGCTTGCTAAACACAATATATTTATAATTTCTATCAAGCTTTCAAATATGACTTAAATTTATATTTCTTTTTGGTGGGAGTTTCACATAGAAGGATGTAGGCCAAGTGAAATCTTTCCCATGGTGTTTACACTCAAGAAGCTTTCATTAAGTGAGTCCTTTCATGCCTTCAGAAAGAACTCGGATGACAAAAGGCTTTCCTGCATTCTTTACATTTATATGGTTTTTCCTCTGATCTGTATTCTTGCATATCCTCAAAAGTTTTCATGAGAAATACAGGCTGTCCCATTTTCCTGATATTCATAGGGTTTCTCTCTGGTGTGAACTCTTTCATGTATTTGAAGAGAACTGGAAGAAATGAATGCTTTACTGCATTTTTTACATTCATATGGTTTCTCTCCAGTATGAGTTCCTTCATGACTTTGAAGAGAACTGGTACAACTGCATGCTTTACTGCATTCCTTACATTCATATGGTTTCTCTCCAATGTGACTTCTTTCATGTTTTTGAAATGATCTGGGAGAAATGAATGCTTTCTCACATTCCTTGCAATTATAAGGTCCATATCCAGTGTGAAAGATCATGTGTGATCGAAGACTTGAGGGAGCAGTAAAGGTTTTCCCACATTCCTTACATTTATAGGGTTTCTCTCCACTATGGATTCTTTCATGCATTTGAAGAGAACTGGAAGAAGTGAATGCTTTACTGCATTTTTTACATTCATAGGGTTTCTCTCCAGGATGAGTTCCTTCATGTCTTCGAAGAGAACTGAGTCTACTGAATGCTTTACTGCATTTTTTACATTCATAGGGTTTCTCACCAGTGTGATTTCTTTCATGTATTTGGAGAGCTTGAAGAGAAATGAAAGCCTTACCACATTCCTTACATACAAAAAGTGTTCCTTCTGTGTGAGTTCTTTGGTGTATTTTTAAGTTAGCATACAAACTGAAGGCCTTCCCACATTCTTTACATTCATAGGGTTTCTCTCCAGTGTGACTCCTTTCATGTATTCGAAATGAACTGGGATAAATGAATACTTTCTCACATTCCTTACATTTATAAGGTCCATCTCCACTGTGAGTGATCATGTGTGCTCGAAGGTTTGTGAGAGCAATAAAGGCCTTCCCACAGTCCTTACATTCAAAAGGTTTCTCTCCAGTGTGATGTCTTTCATGTGTTTGAAGAGCAGTGAGACAACTAAACGCTTTACTGCATTTTTTACATTCATAGGGTTTCTCGCCAGTATGATTTCTTTTATGTATTTGGAAACCTTTAACAGAACTGAAGGCTTTCCCACATTCCTTACATTCATGGGGTTTCTCTCCCGTGTGACTCCTTTCATGTTTTTGCAATGCACTGGGAGAAATGAATGCTTTCTCACATTCCTTACATTTATAAGGTCCATCTCCAGTGTGAAAGATCATGTGTGATTGAAGGCTTGAGGGAGCTGTAAAGGTTTTCCCACATTCTTTACATACATAGGGTTTCTCTCCAGTATGAATTCTTTCATGGATCTGAAGATAACTGTAAGACCTGAATGCTTTACTGCATTTTTTACATTCATAGGGTTTCTCTACAGTATGAGTTCTTTCATGTCTTTGAAGAGAACTGAGTCTACTGAATGCTTTACTGCATTTTTTACATTCATAGGGTTTCTCTCCAGTATGAGTTCTTTCATGTCTTTGAAGGATACTGGGAAAAGTGAAGGCTTTCCCACATTCCTTACATTTATATGGCTTATCTCCATATTTTTGATAGCCACATGGCTTGTGTTCAATGTGACATCTAACATGCCTATTGAGGGATGAATGATGCATGAAGACTTTTCCACATGCACTGCATTTGCATGGTTTTGCTGCAGGAGTTTTGTTGTTCAGATTGAGATTTGGAATAAGGTTAAAGTTTTCTCCACATTGACTACCCTCTTCCCATTCAGAGAGTGTCTCTACCATATGACTTCTGTAAAAAATGAGAAGCACATTATTAATGATTTCTTTATAATGATTTTATAGGAAAAATATAGGTTTTCTGTCTTGTCTGAATTCTCTGAAATTGAATATACTGAATGTTCTACAAGAAGTCTTCACCCTTCCTATTTAATAAAACAGTGATATTCCTATATAAGGTTTATTAATACTCTTTCCAAGTGAACTATTTTCCAAAAACTGAACCACTACATCACATTTCAGAAGATATATTGGTTGAAAATTTTCTAAGAATAGCTAAACCTGAAGCAAAAGTTATCTGTTTTGTTTTCTTCTTTTTAAAATTTTATAACTTACCAGGATTCTCACATGAGACACCGCTTTCTATTGTGAGTGTGACTCACCTTAGTATTCTCCCCTGGTTTTTGTATTGATCTTCAATATCATGAACTTTCCATGTTTTTCCTGAAATGCAGACCCAGAAAGTTGATACCAAATATATTAGAAATTATAGAAAATTTTGCAGATTCTAAGTCCATGATGAGCTATGATCATTTCTAATTTATTTACCAACATCCTGACTTCCACATTCTACATCTTGGAACAATGTTGATGGGCAAGAAACACTTGTTCTCTAATTGATGAAGGGAAGAAATGTCCTCATTCTTACCTATAGAGGCCAGGTTCCTGAAGGTTTCCAACATCACATCTCTGTAGAGTTTCTTCTGTGAAGGATTCAGTAAAGCCCACTCCTCTGGTGTGAAGTTCACAGCCACATCCTCAATGGCCACTGAGTCCTAAAACATCACAAATATATTCGGAGTAGGATGCATAAGACTGACAGCACTATGGATCTATACTCCATTTGTAGGAAGGTTAGTCACGATTCAGTCATCTTTAAGTATTTATTCTATGTTGTGATCATCAAAAACTCACTGCTTTCCTGTACATACTTCATCATCAATTTAATAGCATCATGACACATGGAAATTATTAACACATTTTTACTGTGATCACATTACATTGTATTAGTGTGTAATGCCAGGGTCCAGAGCATACTGGGAAATGACATAAATGCCATACAGATGAAACAAATATTATCATTTTAAGACTAATGATTCCTTGTGAGAAGAATTCTTTCATCTTTGTCCTTGTTACCCACCAGTTACAGCACTCCATGAGGCAGCGGGCCAAACTGCATACGGTTTCAAAAGATAAAGACATAGTGAAGAACTGGAAGCTTTTTTGTCTAGTCCCATCACCAGGAGTCCAGAAGGCCTGTAGAAATGAAACCTTTAACAAAGCCCAGCTGGCCACATTGTTCTAAAGTACTCCAGGCAATTAGAAGTGAGCAGACACACCTGGCTGAACGTAACTATTCATGTGGGGAAGCATTACTTTTAATTTCTGTAATATTTATCACAGACTCAGTTCTTCCTTTCTCTCTCTGTATGATTAGACGGGGCTAGAACATTATTCGGAACTTAGAGCTCAGACACAAGGAAGAATGCATGACAACTTAGACCATAAAATCCCTATACTCATGTGCCTCAAGGCTACTTCCCACCAGTAACTCTTCTTAGATCCATGAGAGCCTTGAGGTCACAGGGCAAACCAGTGTCCCCAAAATTGGGAAAAGAAAAGCAAGATGGCATTTTGAAATATGTCCCAGATACTCTGTTCTTAACAAGGCCTGTACTAAACAAAAGAATCTATTTCATCAGAGTCCCATGCAAAGACAAAAAGACAGAAGAAAATATCTATGAAACCTAGGACAGCCCTCTTTAAATAGGGTTTAAAATACACATAATGGTAATATCTGAAGGAAAAGAAAGAAAGAAACAGAAAAAAGAAGTGAAGTAATAGTCACCAAAATATCCTAAAATTAATGAGATCCAGCAAACTGCACATCCAAGAAGCTCAGAGAACACTAAACATAATAAACTACAAGAGTGCATGCCCAAGAATATCATATTCAAACTAGAGAAAAATCAAAGACAGAGAATTCATTGAGAAATGCCAGAGAAGAAACACACTTCAGGTATAAAGAAACAAAAATTTGAAGTAAATTGGACTTCTTTTCAAAACCATGCAAGCAAGAACAGAGTAGAGTGAAATATTTGAAGTTTTTAAAATTAAAAATACTCTCCTAGAATTTGCTATCAAGCAAAATTATCCCTCAAAAATAAAGGAGGAATAAGAGACAAACATTGAGGAAATTTGTCATGAGTGCACCTACTTTGAATGAAATGTTCAAAAATTTATCAGAAAGAATGTAAATGGGCCAGCCCCATGGCTTAGCAGTTAAGTGCGTGTGCTCTGCTACTGGCAGCCTGGGTTCGGATCCTGGGTGTGCACCGACACACTGCTTCTCCAGCCATGCTGAGGCCACGTCCCACATACAGCAACTAGAAGGATGTGCAACTATGACATACAACTATCTACTGGGGCTTTGGGGGGAAAAAAAAAGGAGGAAGATTGGCAATAGATGTTAGCTCAGAGCTGGTCTTCCTCAGCAAAAAGAGGAGGATTAGCATGGATGTTAGCTCAGGGCTGATCTCCCTCAAAAAAAAAAAAAAAAAAAGAAAGAAAGAAAGAATGTAAATGATAAAGGCAGAGAATTAGAAAAAGAAAAAAGAATGTAAAATATCATTTATATTTCTATATAACAGATGACTCTTTCTTTAAAACAATATGGGCAAAAAGGTATTTGGTAATGAGAAGCTTAAGGACAAGTGAAATAAATGACAGCAACGTGACAAGGAACAGGGAGTGGAAATTGAGAATAGTGTGTTATGAGGTACTTGCACACAAAGAAGTAGTCTAGTGTTATTTGGCAGAGGAGGTGGGTTAGTTGTAAACGTATTCCAAAAACTCAAGGGCAACCACCATAAAGTGCTTTTCAAATATGTGTATTTGATATGTTAAGAAAGGAGAAACAATCAGAGAAAATGCTCAATTTCAGCCAGAGAAGGTGGAAAAAATGTGGAAGACAAAAACAAAAAACAAGGGCAAAAAATAGAAAACGCTAAAAAATTGGATAAATATTAATCCACCTGTATCTATAACAATTTTAGTCTTCAAAAGTCTCAATACAATTGAAATACACAGTAATATCAGATTTCAAAAACCAGAATTATATCCTATCTACAAGAAACCCCACTTTAGACATAAAGACATAGACAGATGAAAGGGAAAGGGATGGAGAAAATTATATCATGCTAACACTCATCAAAAGAAAGCTGCCATAGTTATACAAATTATAGACAATGCAGATTCCAAACCAAGGAAAATTCAGAGATTGAGAGAGGCATTAGATACTGATACAGGGGAATATTCTCCAAGAAGGTACAGCAATCCTTCCTGTGTACCTGTGTAACAATAGAGGGGCAAAATACATGAGGCAAGAACTGAGAGAATGCAAGGAGAAATAGATGAATCCAGTACTATAGCTGTAGATTTCAACACCCCCTTATCATGAATTATAAATTCCCGTAGGCAGGAAATGAGGGAGGACAGAGGTGAACTGAACAGCATTCTGAAACAACTGGATTTCATTGTAATCTATGGAATACTTCACATAACAACAGCAGAATATACCTTTTTCTCAAGTTCACATGGAACATGTACCAAGACAAACCACATTCTGGGACATAAGGCACACATTAATAAATTTTGTGTGTGTGTGAGGAAGATCAGCCCTGAGCTAACATCCATGCTAATCCTCCTCTTTTTGCTGAGGAAGACAGGCTCTGAGCTAACATCTATTGCCAATCCTCCTCCTTTTTTTACCACAAAGCCCCAGTAGATAGTTGTATGTCATAGTTACACATCCTTGTAGTTGCTGTATGTGGGACACGGCCTCAGCATGGCCAGACAAGCGGTGCGTCAGTGCGCGCCTGGGATCCGAACCCGGGCTGCCAGTAGCGGAGCGCACGCACTTAACCACTAAGCCACGGGGCTGGCCCCTAATAAATTTGAAAGAACAGAAATCATATAAAATAGGTTCTCACACCACAAAGACATTTCTCTAGATGTCAATAAAAGTGAGATAGCTGAAAAACCCCCAAATATGTGGAAATTCAACAACACACTACTAAATAATAAATAGGATCAATGAAGTCTCAAGAGAAATAAAAACTTATTTTGAACTGAACAAAATAAAAACACAACATACCTAAGGTTCTTGGATGCAGCAAAAATAGTACCTAGAGGGAAATTTATGCCACATAACAAATACATTGAGAAACCAAAGATCTCTAATCAGTACTGTGAGCAGCTACCTTAGGAAACAATAAAAAGAGCAAATTAAACCCAAATTAAGCACAATAAAAGAAATAATAAAAATTAGAAAATAAAGCAATGTCATTTTGGAAATCAATGGAGAAAATTAAAACAATAAAAGCTGTTTTTTTGACAAGACTAATAAAATAGATCAGCATCCAGTCAAGAAAACAAAGACAAGAGTGAGGACAGAAATTACTAATATCAGAAAGGAAAGCAGGGAGAAATGAAAATAAAAAAGTATTTGATAAAATACAACATTCATTTATGAAAAAAAAAAGTAACAGAGGAGAACTTCCACTTCTTAAGAAAGAACCTCTTTATGAATCCTGTAGCTAAATTTATAACATTTGTTCCATACAGCTTGATTGTCTCTATGAAATATCTGAAAGAATTCACAACAGAAATAACTCCTGGAATTAATTAATTAAATTAACAAGAGTATTAAATTAATGAGAGTATAGCAAGGTTGAAGGGTATGTGAGTGAACTGCTTTCCTTATAGACCAACACAAATATAGCGAAGTGATCTTTGACAAAGAAGCAAAGGGGATGCAAATGAAAAAGAAAGTCTTGTAAACAAATAGTGGTGGAAATAATGGATATCCACATGCAAACATACATACACAACAAATGTAGACATGGGCCTTACACCTTTCACAAAAATTAAATCAAAACACATCACATCACTTTTCACATCTAAATGTAAAATGCCAAAGGAATAAACTTCTAGAAGATAACATAGGAGAAAATCTAGATGACCTTGGTTTTGGAGATAAATTTAGATAGAAAATCAAAAAGCAAGGTTCACAAAAGAAAAAAACAAAAATTTTACTTCATTAAAATGAAAAACTCCCAATCTGAGAAAGACAATGTTAAGAGAATAAAAACACAATTCACAGAGTAAGAGAAAATCTTTGTAAGACATATCAGATAAATGAGTGGTATTTGAAATATCCAAAGAACTCTCAAAACTCAACAGTCAGAAGACAAACAATCCAATTTAAAAATGGGCAAAAGATCTGAATAGACAGCTCACCAAAGTAGATATATAGATGGGAAATAAGCAAAATGAAAACATGCTCCTCATCAGATGTCACAGGAAAATTGCAAATAAAACAACGAGGTATTACTAAAATCTTATTAAATGCGTAAAACTCAAAACACTCAGGACACCAAATATTGGTGAAGATATGAAGCTACAGGTAATCCTCATTCATTGCTGGTGGAGATGGAATTTGGTATGCCACAATGGAAGACAGGAACTTTCTTTCAAAACAAAATACACTGTTACTACATATAGTTGAAGATGCAGCAATCACACTCCTTGGTATTTTTCCAAATGAACTGAAACCTTATGTTCAAACAAAACCTACACATGACTGTTTATAGGCCCTTTATTCACATTTGGTAAGACTTAGAGTTTTAGGCAGGATGTCCTTCAGAGTCAAATAGACACAAAATGTCACCTCTCACCACTCCTAGTCAACCTTGTACTGGAATTCTTAGCTAAT